CGCGGCACGGAGAAGCAGGGAGGGTGTGTGTCTTTGATAGCAGCCTCCCGGGATGGTGCATTGAATGTTTTTGCTTTCCCTCTCTGCACAGAGCTCTTGTCGAGTCAATGAGAGACCTCCACAAGTCTAGCGTGCTGGGAAGCAAGCACCGCAGCCTGGTGAGTGTCCCGCGCAGGGCATCTTAATGAGGCTGGGACAGAGGGACGCTTAGAGACGGCGGCTGAGCCCAGGCGAGCCAAGAGCCCAACTGGCTGGCTCCGCGCTGAAGGTCCCTTGGCACGAAAGAGCAACCACTTAATTTACACCGGAGACTCGGCATTTCTTAACCCATCTGCTTTTAAGTCAAGCTCAGGCTGCAAACGCGCCCGGGTTCCCCCCCAGGCCGGAGCATCGATCCCGCAGCGATGCGGAATCCGGAGTTGCAGCCACGTTTGGTGGCTGAACGACGCCTGCACGTGGCCAACATGTGTTGCTCTCCGTGGCAGAGTTGTTATTAAAATGAAGAACGGGATGTGCCTAAATGTTAAATCTCACCGAGCCTCGTTAGCATGAAAGCCATTAATGTGAACAAAAGCCATTTTCAAGGTTGAATTGAGAAGCACCAGAGCATTTAGAGTACTGGAGACATTAAAATCAGCATTTCTTTGGCTCTAACCTAACGTGCTTGGAACAATAAGCATTTGATGACTAATTTTGGCAATGCTGGGTACCTTATCAAAATATAGCTGTTTGATTTCAAGCTTTTCTTTAGGGAGTGGATTCCAGCAGCATAAATCCTACGTAATTGCACTTTGCTAATGCACCGGGCATGCACTGAGCGGATCCGAGCGGATCCCATCCTCCGTGTCTGGAGGAGCCTGGGCAGGAGATGTCTGAGGGTGGCTCTGCCAGCTCCTGCTTGTGCATTTTCCCCTCTGAGTGGAAAAACCATTGGCCTTGCTCAAGCAGAGTGAGCAGGGATGGGCTTGGGGCGGGGAGGTGGCTTGGCGGTGCCTCCCCCACCACGTAGCGACTGCCGGGATGGAGTTTTGCTGTTTGCCAGCGCTGATTCCCAGTGCTGATTCTCACCGGGGGCGGAGGAGCATCGGGACCAGAGCAGGGTTGTGCCCACCTCACAGGGACTTCAGGGACGATGGCTCTATCCTGGAAGGCACACGGCAGCGTGCTCGGGAGTGTGGCACCGCAGCGGGCCTGGTAGTGGCTTTTTTCCTGTAAAATATTCCCTGGTGAGCTATTTTGATATTTTCTTCCCTGCTGTCTGCACCGGGGAGCTGTGAGGAGTGGCAGGGCTGGGGCAGGCAGGGATCAAGCTGCCTACAGATGAAGCCATCTCCGTGGTTAAGACCCGCTGAAAAGCATCTCTTGGTTTCACCCAGTAGCACTTTGCTGCCTTAACGGCTGGTCGATACTTGAAACGTCAAACTGGAGTGACCCTTGACCTTTCTGATGGAAAATAACTTCTGCCCAGCAGCTCCCAGGGATGCGCAGGCAAGGTGTCGGCGCCGGAGAAAGGGAAAGTAACCCAGGGCACGGAGGGCGCAGGGACAACGAGGGGCTGGGTTTCAGTTGCATTTGCTTTTCTTCATACAAAACTCTGCCTTGACTTTAATTGGAAAGCCCCAGATGGGCAGTGCTTGCCAGAAGCTCTGCCTGCGCCAGAAGGCAAGAAAAAAGGGAATAATGGGATTTTGGAAAGACACTGGAATGCCACAAAACCCCTCCCGAAAGCTCCAGATTTTCTAGGCAAACTATTAGTGTTGCACTTCCTTTACCCAAAATTTTCATGCAAATACCTTTTTCTTGCTAGGCAACCGTAACCCTGATAGTTAATCGTGTGCAGCGCAACAATTGGGCAGTCACCACGCAGGAGCACTGCTTTCCCATTAAAAACTTCCTGGGAAACGCCACGTGCCATCGCGGTAGCCCAAAGAGCTGCTGGGGGTGCCACAACCCCCTTGTCACCCCCACCCGACACGCTACTGAGGGGGCACAGTGCCAAGGATCTCACTGCCCCAGGGCTGGGGAGGGTATTGCCAACCCCCCCAAAAATCCGCTTCGTACAGGTGAGCGCAGGAATTCATTTTTCTGAAAGCTTTGATGATGGAGGCAGATTAAACTGCGCTATATATAGGATTTTTGGGGGGATTACAGTCCGCTGTGCCGTGCCTATTGCAGCATTAGGGGCTCTTTGCGCAAGCTCTCCCTCCCGGCTGCCGTTGCCAAGACGCCCGATGCTTGAAAAGATGCATTTAAAAATAAACACGCAGAGACAAGAGCTGTGCCCTGCTGCTGCTGGTAGGCACAGGCTGGAGCTGCCAGCAGACCAGAAAAGCCTCCTAAGAGGGGCTGGGGGGGTTTTCCCTTCTTGGTTCCTTTTCTTTCTTCCAGGCGAACGGTAGTGTTGTTCCCAGGGGATGTGGGCAGAGCTGGGTTTGCTGTGTGCTGCTGGGACACGCAGCTCAGATCCGCCGGCCCCATGGCATCTGCTCTGCCCGGCTGGTGGGGGCTGTGGCGGGGGTACCGGTCCTCCATCCTAGAGAAAAACCTGCAAAATATGGAGTTGTTTGGTGTTTTCTTTTTAAATGTCATTGCTCCTGAATTACTCTGCTGTAAAACGGAATGGCAGCGTGAGACACCCACTTTAAAGCTGATTTTCCTCCCCCTGCAAGAAGCTGAGCTCGCAGAATGCCCAGGAAGGGGCAGCTCTGGCACCTCTGCAGCTCCCTGGCCTGGGGACCTCCCACACCCCTTGGGCCCTCATCTCCATTTCTTGCTCATGCAACAACCCTCTGATGCAATATTGCAGCTCCTGGGCTGGACGGGGGAAAAAAAGGAGGTCAGGTCTCTGCAACCACCATGCACGGACCAGCCCTCACTCTCAGAGAAGAAAACTTGCCCATCCTTTCCCAAATACAGGGCTGTGGCTGCTCCTCCTCCTCCTCCTCCCTTAATCCAGCCCTATTATATATAACCTCTTGCTAACTGACCCCCATGGCACATTGTCCATCTTCTCCCCAGACCTGCTTTTGCAGCAGAGCGGGGTCAGAACGAGATTTTAATGCAGCTCCGCGAAGGTGCCGGGGAGCACGGCAGGCTTCCCCCGGAGCCGCAAATGCCAGGCTCCTTGCCTGTCATAGTGTCCCTGGGGTCTTTCCCCACGTCCAGCTCTGTGTTTTGGGGACCAGCACAACACGGATGAAATGGCACACGGAACCAACCCGGCGCTCCTCTGTATTTCTCCCTCAATGGAATATTTTCGCTCAGCGAGGGATGTTCCCCCCAGCCGGCGTGCCCGGCTCGGCGCAGACGCCTGGCAGTGGCAGATATCCCTGCTCCGATTATGAAACCTCAATGGACTGCTTTGTTCTTTTGTTTGGAGAGAAGGAATGGGGATGGGAGCGCTGCCCGGCCCTCCCCTCCCCGCAGCTGCCTTCTGCCCCTCCCTGGGGCTTCGAGGGGTAGGGGAGGAAGGGGAGAGGGATGCTCTGCATTGGCCTGTATCCCTGCTCCGGGCTTCCCAGCTCACCCCTTTGCTGCTCTAGCTGCTGCTACAAAGGAGATTTCCACCTTCCAGCTTGGGATTTTGGGACACGCTCACCCCCTCAAGCACTTAAATAAGTAAAACATTGCATTGAGCCTAAAAATGCCGGAGCAGAGTGAAGAATTTCTCTGCTGCTGCTTGTTTCGTGAGGTTCACGTTGATGCTGAATGTCATGATTGGGGATGTGATTTATTTTATTGCCTCGCTTCAAAGTGCTTTATAGTATTCTCGTGTGTCATGTAAGTTCTGCTCAACCCAAAACAAGGGAGGAGTTTTGTAACAAAAGGAAAAACCAGAGTCCAGGAATAATGCGGAGCTAGAATGAACCTGGAAGATGATGGCACATTAGTCCGATTCTGGGGGATGGGTGGAAATGACTCCAATAAATCAATAGCATTTTCTTAATGCCTCTGAGCTGCTGGGAGTGAGGTGATGGAGAAATAAAAATGCCCATTAGCGTCAGCAGAATGTAGAGAATTACTCAAAAAGCGAGTTTCATAAAAATTCTGTATTGTGAGATTGCAAATGCTCTGGATAATAACTTCCCGAATTGCTGGATGTGGCACAGGAGCTGGTCCCTCGCTGCTGGGAGTTCCATTGGTGCCGGAGCCGACCGGCGCCCCGGGGACGGCTTCACCGGGACAAGCAGCACGCGGGGTGCTTCAGCACGCTACTCCCCCTGGAAGTAGCAGGGGTTTTCTGTCTTCCAGCATCTTCCGTCTTCCCAGAGAGCAGCTGGCAGCAGCACGTCCGTTGGCTGGGGGGTGATGGACTGGGGGGCTCACAGGCATTCCCGAATTCACCCTGAATTTCTTTTTTTTTTCATTTTTCTGTTCTGGAGCAGAGAGGAGGCTGTTTCTAGGGGAGACATAGTTTACAGTGAAAAGGATAGATTCTGAACAGACACTATTTTGCAAAATTTAAGTCAAATAATGGGTACATGAGAAGAAAGTGACAGAAAAATTGGAAATAAAACCCCCAAGAGTTTGAAATACTGTTCATTTCCACAGTTGCTGAGAGGGTGATGGTGCAAGGGTTAAAATTCAAGGCGAAGACAGCCAATGCAACTTTTCTCCCTAAGTTTTGGGAAGGTCCCATCCCCTTGTCTGCAGTGATGCTACCATGGCCACCTCTCCCCACACCCCTTGGGGCAAGAGATGCTTCAGTCTCAGTGTGAGAAGCCCCTGGCCGCCACCCCCCCCGGGAGGAAGCAAAGGGCCGAGGAGCCAGCGTGGGACCATGCCTGGATTGCTTTTTCCAGCCTTTCCTCTCCCGCTTTGTCTCGCCCGAGTCGCTCCTTGGGGGAAGAGGCTGTTTTCCTCCCTGGTCGGCACCACCTGCAAAATACCCGGTGCTGGAGGGGAACACTCGTCACGCCGGTGTCCAAAGCATCCCTGCATCCCCTTTTCTCTCCATCCCCTCCACATCTTCAAAAGTCTTTGCTGGCTCAGCCAGGAAATGGGATGTTTGTCCAACGCCAAACTCCAGCGTGCCCCCTCTGAGCCCAGAAACCCCGTGGAGCGAAGGATTCGGCAAAGCGGCAAGCAGAGGGAAAATAAATACGTAAACAACAAAACTATTTCCCATTTGAAGTGATACCTCTCCCCTGGATTACACAGGCTGTGGGATAAGAGATTTTCATCCTCCTGGGTAGAAAATTTGTCAATTTTCAATGGTTTTCCATCATAAAATGGTGTTTCTTGTGATACCGTGGATTTTACTGGGAAAACTTCCCATGTGCAACCCATCGGCAGCCGTGTTTCCAGCGTAAGGGCTCTGCATCTCCCTTTGCCCCTTGGGTTTTCATTGATTTTCTTCCTCCTGGCATCCCTAAGGTCCCTTGGTGGCTTTGTGCTCTTGTCCCCATTCTTTGGGATCAGCCGGGTGCTGGGAGATCTTTCTGGATCAGAGCTGTGGTGTCTCCATCGCCACCATGGGCTGCCACCAGAAACCAAGGGGCTCCTGCTCCTTCCCTCATCCCCTGGGTGCTTGGAAGCCCCATGAGATGACACCAGATTCAAAGAGAAGGTTTAAATATAGAGGGGAAAAAACAAATGGAGGAATAAATAATAAAACTAAATGGAAAAATAAAGCTGGCATCTGCTTGAAAAGTCAACGTTTTCATGAATCCAGAACAGAAACATCACTCACAAGAACATCCCAATGGATAATGCAATGGGAAACCAGTGGGGTTTTTTTCTCACCAGGAGATATTTCTAGGATTTTATTTGTAGGCAATGCCCAGTGGGCTCCATGGGAAAAGGGGTTTGGACAGAGCGTGGC